AGTTACATTAAGTGCAAATTGTCAATTTAAATTCAATGTACTCATATCAAAGAACTGAGCAGAACCTATGAAAGACCCAGTTGAACAGTGAGCAGAACCTATGAAAGACTCAGTTGAACATTATCATTTATGAATATCAATGCAATCTTTCCCGCGTCAAAAAAACTGCTGCCGTTCGATGAGAAAGCGACGATCTCCCTGCGAGCTGCGTCTCTCTGTTTCAGCGCAAGACAGGCCCGTCCATCGTCGTCCACAGTGCAATAACAGCAGGCAAATTACACTTCTTCTTCAGCTGCCTGTTCCTCTTCTGCCTCTGCAAGACCTCTAAAGACAAAAAACCTCGTACCTTTCAGGTCAAAGAGACATTGACTCATACCTTTTTTTGTCTTGCGTCCACACAAGCTTCCTCTGTGACATCGCGCGCGTAAAAAAAGCGTTGCAGAATGCTGGGCTCTGACGCTGGAAAGTGTTTCTCTACCGTCTAAAGGAACTGCTCTTGGTGTTAAAGCCAGACTGATAGTGTTTGCCCAAAATTTAAAGCCAGTGGTGGGTTTGAATAGCTGGTAAGTGGGTCACTCAGCTAAAAGCTTACACCCCTCCATCTAGGCGAAGAATTTGTAACCTTCACAGGTCCTACACAACAGAAATTTAAACAGGAATTTTGCGGCGATGACTCCTCGTAATAGATGACTCCCGTAAGAGTTCATGCGGCAAAACATCCTGATCCTTTTTCTCTGATCCGTGATCCGATCCGTGATCCGGTCCGCGATCCGATCCGTGATACGGTTCATGATCCGATCCTGATTTTGTCGTTTTGGTGTCATGGGTTATGCCAGCCATCGAAGGTACTTTAATTCCTTTTCCGCCCCAGCTCTTGGACGATAATATCTCCTTGGCTTTGCGACAAAGCAAGGCAGTCTGACAAAAGCTTATCTAAAAATAAGCTTTCGGTTCAATTTAAAATAATATCGACTAGGACTCCCAAATTCATCCCAAATGGGCCCTTTTAACAAGCAAAATAATGTTTGATCGAGTTCAGGAAAACTCAGATCAACAAAAAAAATATTTCGACCTCAAAAGATCTTTTGTGGACAACTCATCGTGAACGAGACTCCTTGTGGTTTAAAAAAAAAGCTGGAGGGCGCCTTTCAAATCAAGCAAACAAACAACTGGCGGCTAAAGCTGGTCGAAGCGTGAGCTCTGAAATTCTTGCAGAATTTCTTCCAGTTTGAGACATTTCTTTTAACATTCACGCGGAAATGCATATGAGACTGAAGTTAATATGTTATTTCATAGTTCGCTACTTTCTTGGTGTCTTTTAGACATCTCAACGGAAAATGATAGAATTTTATAGCTAAACACCACGAGCAAAATACGTGTACGTGCAACACTGACATAGCGAGGTGTGTGAATAGAGATAACATGTCTGTCGAAAATTAAATTTGAAATACAGCAATACAGAAATAAAAAAGTCAGCGATGTCTCTTTGAAACTTTGAATTCTGTTCTGCCGTCACCTTTGTGAAAACTGGGTTTTGCCTTCACAAATAAACGGGCGGTCGGGAACAACTCTATAAACTTCCTCTGGGAAAAGGCTTTCTTGGGGGCACTCGCTGGCTGCGGGAAGGCCGGGATCTTTTACGGTTGTCGATTATCCCGGCTTGAGACCATGACTAACAACAACAACAAGGTTGGCTCCAACGTAGATTTATTCTCCAAGCACTACTGAACTGACGTGGCCCTAATCTGGCCTGAGCTGGCTTCAACAGACTGAGTTTGACCAAAGAAAGCTTTACCGAAAAGTTCTATTTAAGCCTAACTTAAGAGGATGAGGAAATGCCATGACTTATCTAAAGGATAACGTTATCTTCTACAACGATTGGCTAGGAAGGCATTTCGCTTTTTACAAGATTAATCACTTTCAAAAAGCTCTGGTGGATAACAACTACACAAAAGGTCATGACAGGTGACGGTTACAGTTTAGCACTAATTACAGTTATGATCTAATAACAACTGTTTACGGCTGGCTTAATGGAAACTAGTAGCATGTATGCTTTCCTGAGCTCAGCAATGCCTCATAGTTTCTATCTTAGATTTCATATAATTTTTAGCGCTAGCATAAAAACTTTATAACTCAAAATCCTATCGATACACCTTCGCATTACAACATGACCGGCACGAAAAAAACTAGCTAGAAAAAGTATCGTCCAATTCTCTCTCTGCCGCATCAGTTTGTTTTGGTTTTGCTTACACCAATCATATCGGAGGAAACAGTAACGACAAAACTGTCTATGTCACGGACTGGCCACAGAAGAACCAGACAAAGGTTTGTGAACATGCCAAGCGCCGCAAATGGCGTTACAGTCACGTGTGCAGAGACGAAAATCCTCAAAGAGAAAACGAAATAGACAGTCCGAGTTCTAAAGGTTTCACGCTCGGTTTCTAAACTTACATATGGTTATAAAACTCAAACACAGCTAACACTCGTACAGTATATATAGTTTCGTGTTCAAAAACAAAACAGAAGAGAACATGAATGACAGATGAAAGTTGAAAAATATGTTCCAAATGGCATAAATGTTAAAAGCCAGAGCAACTGTGATCCTGCTGAGGTCCATCACAGCGATTTCCGGTCATTGCGGTGAAGCAAGCCTCAGAAATTACAGGTACAAAATGCGATATTTGGATTTTGAAATATTGCTGATTTTCAAAGGCGTTTCAGGAGCTCGAAATAAAATGAAATGGTCTCGTTTTAGACTTGAACCATGCGATCCCCCCAATACAAATTTATCAAGTTGATAAGAGCTTGCTTTCTTTTGTGCTTTTCATCAGCAAATTTCATTTGCCTCTGCTCGGGGCACTGATTTCCGCCATTTTACGGCTACCTACGCTCGTTTCAGTTTCGTGCATTTTCTAGGATAAAAAAGCAAGTCTGGGAAAAAAAAACCCTACCAAGTTTCTATGATCACTATAAGGCATATCTGACTGATATAAGAGGATAGTCATTTTTCGGTCGATTAGCCACCTCTCACGCAATTATGAAAAAAAGTCGCTCTTAAACTCTCTATCACAGTAATGGAGCGTTTGTATTCTGTCCCTGTTAGGTATCGGTAGACAACAGTTACCATTACATTACAGTCTTTCGTACGAACTACTGCGTAAAAACTCCTCGAGAATTTTATTCAGGCCCCCGGTTTATACTTTCATAGCCACTTTTGGAAGCTCAAGACCGCCAGACTTTCAGCCAACAAAGCAGTCTCCCTCAAACTCTGTTTTAAAAACATTGTAACTTTCCTCACCTTTCCGCCATTTTGCTTTGTTGTGCTTTCGCGACTTGCTGGTCAATCAATTCAATTTTGCACTCAATTTCACTGTTTGGGATTAACTGACGCGTTCTCAGCCAATGATCATGCTGAACGTTTTGCATGCATACTATTATTGTATGAACGGCATTGAGATATACTGAAGAGTTTTATACGTTCTGGTCCAGGGCTAAGTGACTGAGCCAACTGTAAAGGACCAGAGAAGAGTGTAATGTGTAGCAAAATAAAAGGGGGGATGACAAATAAGGTTAGCATTACCTCAAGCTTGGCTCAAGCCCACTAGCATCAAGTTAATGCAGTAAATCCACATGAAAGTCTGTTTTTAAAGACTAGAAAGTTTTCCTTGATTGACTACGTAAAAGTTCTTATCTTTCATTGATTTCCTCCGCTTGCTTTCTTCAACATGGTTATGTAACCCTGAACGACTTAGGTTGCGATTTTAATTTATCAGATTCGCCGACAGGCAGGGACACCGCAACAGCTTGCGCCAATTACTGCGGGCCCAGTTAACCCACCCATCCCACCAAAGGGGAGCACATCCACCACACAGTAATCTCGTGCGTGGGAAATTAACGTCTCCTACCCCTAACCCAGTAGGAGACGGAGCCTACGGTTTGTTCGTCCTTACTCGAGAAGACAAGAATATCTATCCATCTCTTGATACTATAGAAAGGTAGCAAATTCCCCTCAGTTATTTTAAGACCCTGAGTGTTGGTCCGGCCGGGGCTTGAACCCTCGACCTCCCGCGCAATAGTCCAGCGCTCTACCAATTGAGCTGACCAGGAGGCGATACACGACAGTAGATGAGTTTACATGTACTTCTAGATTCACTCACCAGAAAAATGAGGTCTTTCCTCAACCATGGCGACGCCCATTGGAGAAGAAACCTGCAACAAAGCGAATGCCAATCATGATTAAAAAAAGAAGCCATACGAAATGAGATTAATATTGTTTTCGATACCAGAGTTGAATTAGCACGAACAAATCGTCAAATAAAATAATTTATTTCGAGCTCAAAACATAACAAAGCCAAGATGGCCGCTGCAAAAATAATAAAAACAAAAAACAAAAAAACAAACAAAAAAAGAGTACCGAAGCCCGCGGTCCTCATGTGTAATGGCACGTAAGGCCTGAAGAAATTAAAATTAAAACATAGCAGCGCTCCAGGCCAAATCTTTCAATCTCTAGACAAAAAATCTTGTTAACAGGCTGTCATCAACTCCAAAAAATATAAATGGTAAAAGTCTAGTATCAGTGAGCTACAGGACTCTGTTTTTAACCAAAAGGAGAAATAAAAACCAATAGGTCCAAAAGTAGTACTGGTCTTTTTCTTTCTGCTTTAAAGGATGAGGGGGGGCTTGTTTGTTAAGTTAATCAAAAAACAACAAATGCACTATACTATGACATCAACTGTACCGCAGATGTTGATCGAGGCTTTGAAAATGTCACTTCACACACAACTTTCGGTATCTCCTCGCATGTACGGAACTTTACTACTGGAACACTATCTCTGACCAAGTTAACAATCAAAGCCATGTGACTGTTGTCACTTATGTCATTTCCAAGAAACCTAAGGGTAGAAACCGAATGTACACACATTGCCACATTGAACGAACCTCCTTCAGCTTAAATCTTATTCAACCCAAAAAATTTTTGCTTTCAACCTTTCTTTAAGGCCACCAAGATGTATCTTATTCTTATATTGAAAATAATGAATGAATAGATAAATACAATATATAACCGGAAATTTCCTAAATAGATGGTGGCAAATGTTAAAAAACTACCTAGACTAATAAAAGAAATTCTCCTTCGCAACCATTCCCAATTCATCTGCCATCTTTCATACCACAGTTGGAGGTTGACTTTGCCTTACTGTTTTAAATCTTTTTCCTTCAAATTTAAAGAATAACTTACTCGAGAACAATCTCTTTATTCTTCTGTGATTCATGCTCAAATGTAAGGGCTGACAGGGAAACCACAATTTTATCTCCCTTACACAAAGGCTCCTTTGACTTTCCCTCGCCAATAAAAGGTGTTTCATAACGTGAAATTTCTTGAACAACATCGGCTCTTCTGATGTTTAGAAAGCAGTACAGTAAAAGCTCATATTTGGCATGACATAAAGTCTCACGTAAACAAGCGAGAAAATGAACACGTTGTGGCATTGGTGTGGGGAAAGATCGCCGAGTAAAATCCTCCAATTGAGACACCAAATTCTTTAACTTACAGACTAGCCAGAATCTGCAAAACAAAGAGTGAAACCACAAATATATTACAACACCGAACTTATGAATAACCCTCAGAGTGAGAGAAGGCACATAAATGGAAATATGGCAAGCCATTAAATCATTTTTCATAAAAAAACACTGCGTCATGCATAGATGAAGGAAATCCCATTTGACTTTGGAAAATCATTTCGTCCACATACTGCGACAGTTGACTCTGCTTGGGGTGAGGGGTTGACTTGTTACGCCTCAGCTTATGATGCACCATCCAGAGCAACATTCAGTCCAAATGTCGCAATCTACATCGGATTAAGTGACTACACGTACACTTTGGGATAAAAAATTACACTTTAACTACAGTGAAACTCTCCCTTAAGATGTAAAAGAGAGTTTTACCTAACTCACCGACTGAAATGCTTGACTTTAAATTCTACTATCCCATCTTTAAGAAAAACTTGTCCTTCAAGTTCATCTGTGATATCAGTCCAGCTCTTGGGTTTTTCTTCCGGATCAAGGTATAATAACCTTACGACCTCATTTGAAAATTTCGAAAAATCGTGCTTACTTTCACGTAAGGTGAGAGGAATCTTGATTGTTACAGGCTCAAAATGTTCAATGCTGTGAGAGCTTGAAATGTGAAGAACAGGACCAACCAATATTCCTTCTTCGACCTCACTGCTCGGAAATTCTTGCACCTTAGGTTAAAAGCCAGAATAGATGTCGACATTATATGACACACATGTACATTATTGTTCTTAATAGACTAGTAAAGAAGTATCTCCAAAAAAACAGTCCTTGTTTTCCTCGACGATTATTAAGTAAACATGGAATCGAACGCTGCTATTTGGAATCATACTTAGCAGCCGGGCCGCTTGTGACCTAAGAAAGTCGTACTCCTCTTTCCTCGATCTCTTGGCGACCGGTTTAAACATTCAAGAGTTGCATAAAAAGACAGTCTGGACTCAAATGCGTTTTTGCGATTGTTTCGATCAGCTCATGTTGGTAAACTGCACTGTGTAGTTTTGCGTGTGCGGCCAGGTCACTGATTTGTTTTCAAAATTGGCGACGTCTAAGTCTAATTATCAGCAAATTAGAAAAAAAATTGGAACAGTGCAATTAATCTTTGGAATCTATGGAAAGCTTCGTAGAGGATAAATTTTAGTTACCTTTTACACTGGTAAAACATATGATTTCAGAACACACTTCTCTATCACCAAGGATGGCGAATTTTCAGTTTAGTCGTGGAGTAAAAAGTGATCGTTTTTGTCATTTGATGGTAGTCTTACAAATTACGACAAGGAACTTTCATTCAGAAGCACGCGTTAAGGTGTAATTGAGATGCAGGGGGAGCTGCTTGTCTCAGAACAAATACGTAGTCATTGTTTTTGACAAAAGTAAAATGAAAATCTGAATTTGAGCCCCAGATCTCTTGCCTTTGCACATGTTAAATGAGAGGAAAAGATGAAAGAATAAATCTAAATTAATTTATAAAAAACTGGATCATTGGATAACCTAATTCAAGAGTTTTCATTAGCTTAGCCACCCAGGGTTATGAGTTATTTTACCATGCGCGCGCGTGAAGACGAGTTAAACCGAAAGTGTTTTTGTACATTGCAGCAGTCCGTTTGTTAGTGCGAAATAAATTTGGGAATATTTATCTATACCTTGGGGCAATTTCAATTAAACAATTATCCCACTCGCACTTGTTCTATGATGATTATAGCCAACGCTATCTACCCTGCAGTGCAGTTTCATCAAAGGTCCACAAGATTAAAGGAAATACCTTAAGTGTAAAAGTGAAGTCCTGATCAACTGGTAAAGAAGTAAGAGGAACTTCTACACGTACGTCGGGAAAGTCTGGTACTACACATGTGAGTTGATGAGCCACTGAAGTATGTCTTGAGAAACTAAAGGTCTTCAGGCGCCAAATGGCAGCAAACGTGGAACATTGAGCGAATAGACAACTGGCCTCAACAAACTGAGGCCAGTCGGAAATCTCTGGCTTTCCTAAAGATAGAGGCATTTCATGATCTTTTCTAAACGGGCACAAAGTATAACAAAACAGTGTATTGTTTCTATACATTAATACAAGCGAAAAGTGAAAGAGAGGGTGCAATTTAGCTTCAAATCACGCGTGATTATTAAATCAAACAAGCGTACAGCGTTATAGGGTTACCAGCATGATTTCAGACCGAAGTTGCATGACGGGACGTTCAGTAGCCAGTTCATTGCATACCTTTTAAAAGTACATATTTGCTTTAGATCTGCATTTGCTGTTGAGTAGTTTTTCTTTCTGTTTGCTAGACCCAGTAATGTTTAACAACATTCGAAAGCATTTGGTCAAAATGAACAATGAAATTTTGAAATTTCGTTGAATGTAAGTCTTCATCCTTTAGGGGCTCATTATTGTCATTAAGAAGGTGCGATTAATTGAGGTCAGACATTTTATTCGAGAACAAAGGTGCCAAAATTTGCCGTAAGTTTTACATAACGGGTTAGTTTTAGTTTCCATTCTCCTGCTATTTGATTAGTTACTTTAACTAGCCTTAAATTCTGAACGTTTTAAGGTTCCGTTCTTATTTGCTGGACGAACAGTTATGACTTAGGGCGAACAAGGCTGTAATGTAAATAATTTGCGCCACGTACTTCAAATTGGATGTAATGAACAAAACTATATACCTGCTTCTGGCATATCCATTAAGTACCTCGTCTCCAAATCCTTCCATTCATCGCCATTTGGATCCATCAATTGCTTGATGACTACTTCATAGCCCTTCAAATCACTCGCACTGTGCATCAAAGACACAGTTATGCTTCCTCCACTAAACTCAATGTCTGGTGGACCATCATGTGACAATTCAACCACATTGCTAACCAAAAGCTCATCACTACCAATTGGTGGACAGCAAGATGTAGGAGGCCATACTGAACCAGTAAAGAACAAAGGTTTTGGCACAGCTCCCTCGTGAAATGTCACATAGGCAGCTGCTTCCCTTAAGTTCCATTTACAACCATATTCTGTTACCACACCCCTAAAAAATGAGATCAGCAATCAAAGAGGTTACTATTCGTAGTCTCTCGCAATGTTACTTCTAAGTTAGGTGGTACTCTCAAAAAAGGATCATATTCAAAATGAGCGAACACATCCAAATTAAGATCGTTCCTAATTACCTCCACACAATCAAAAAAGAAAATACTTAATGCAAAATCTTGGATACCATGCGCAATTTAGTTATTTCCATGTGGCACAATCGTAGAGGGAGTTTTGATATACATTTTATTTTCCTAAATCCAAGTTCTTCCGACAGAGGATTATCATAAATATTACTGTTCACAGATGACAGGGCACTCTTTGGTATCTCAGGTTCCGTTTGCTTTGGTGTCAATTCTCATTTCCATTGATGACTCAACAAACTATACCTGCAGATGATAGATCGTTGAATTGCTTTATCACTCAGCCAAGGATCATCCATGAACTCGAAGTACTTTTCAGTTAGTAGCTCTGTTTTCTCGTTCTCCAGCCAAGGATCATCAATGAACTCGAAGTCCTTTTCAGTTAGTAGCTCTGTTTTCTCTTTCTTCAGCCAAGGATTATCCTTGAACTCTGAGTACTTTTCAGTTAGTAGCTCTGTTTTCTCATCCTTGGGAACTACATTTTTTAAGAATTAACACACAAACATTGTGAGCCACGATTTTTACACCAAACTCTCTCTTCCCCTCCTAGTAGGTCTTTGTGAATTGAAACAGAGGTTTATTGGCTACACTGCCGCTAGTGTCCATTTTCCTTTCCGATCCCATAGTTAGTCCTAAAGCTAGATCCTTGGAAGAAACTCTTACTTCAAGTACTAAAAAACCTCAGGCAGCCTCCCTCTGTGTAGATTTTTCCTATCCTGTTTTTTTCTATGAGTCACCTGACGTTTTTTCTAGAACTAGAATCATGCTAATATGAGAATAGCAGGCTCACTGAAACACCCGTGGCTGGAGATTAGGCACATAAAAGTACACGCTGGTAAACCAAAAAACCATAGTGTCATGCTATTTACCGTTACTGCATATAGTTCAATTATCTTAAGTCTGAGAGGTTTCTTCTCCTCAAAACGAATGTTACATTCTAGACATATTTCTTTTTCGTCATTTTATTAGTTTGACAACATAAGTATCCCATGTAACCTTGCTTTCGCTCGGTATTTTTACTCGGTATAAATGACTTTTATCCACAATATTTGATACATCACAGTAGATGTCTTAGAATACCTTACCGTTATCATCATCAGTCAACACACGGAAGAGTTCCTCTGAAAGCAAGCTCGAGTACCCACTACGCACTGTCTCTGTTGCGGTTGGTGTGTTTTTACCTTTACTTGCGATTAAATTTACATGGTAACCTCCCAAGTAAGTACAGGATGTTAAAATCAAAACCTCAACTAGCCTCCAAACATGCAAACTTTGCTTATTCTCTCTACTATCTGTTAAATGGAGATATCTGTGAGTGGGCTAAAATTTTTTTTAAAACGACAACCACGTTCTTATTGGTGGACAGACACAAGACTTAAAGTCAAACACGAGATAAAAAATCGGGAGTATAAATTTGCTGTCAGTCGCGAAACAAAATTGATACATTTCTTAAAGCTACTATGAACACTCTTAGAACAGATGTAGTTCATCTTATCGCCAGTTAATTCATCAGTGAAATCAATGCACAATGAAGTTTAAAGTGCACCTAAACCCAAAATTTTTTTTTCGCTTAACGAAATAAGCTTATTTTTTGGAGTATTTCTGTGCAAAAATTTTTTAATTTGCTCAAATCTTTAATTTTCTATGCCCAGTCAAAATACGGAAAATCGGCCGCCATCTTGCCCCACGACCGAGTTTAAAGAAGAATGGCTCTAGCGGGTAATGTGACGTCAAATCGAGAACACGAAAGTCTGCATCTCACACATTTTCACTTGTTTGGGAAGATTGTCGTCGATATTGTCCGAAATATGCCGACTAGGTGTGTTGTATGAARWATGTATGAAGCGCGATACCCTCTTGCAAATTTCGCACGTTGCTACATCCTTCTACAACACACTTAGTCGGCATATTTTCGGACAATTATCGACTACAACCTTCCCAAACAAGTGAAAATGTGTGAAATGCAGACTTTCGTGTTCTCGATTTGACGTCACATTACCCACTAGAGCCATTCCTCTTTAAACTCGGTCGTGGGGCAAGATGGCGGGCGATTTTCCGTATTTTGACTGGGCATAGAAAATTGAAGATTTGAGCAAATAAAAAAAATTTTGCGCAGAAATACTCAAAAAAAATAAGCTTACTTCGTCGAGCGAAAAAAAATTTTGGGTGTAGGTGCACTTTAAGCCGGTCAGAAAATGAAATATTGCTGAGCTTAGCTAATGCAATATTTTGTTATTTAATATTACCAACTTTTTACAGTGGTCAAAGGAATTCTCGGTATGTTCAATATGAAAAAATAAATAAACAGTGTGTGTGAGGAGTGTAGTGAGAGAGCGAGAATATGAGAATAAGCTCGGCATGTCGCACCTTTTGTCTTAAATTTTTAATTAGTGCTCGCACCAATCAGGGTACGCCGCAAGGCTCTGTTGCTCGCACCAATCAGATTGCGGCTCAGAGCGAGGACATAAAAAAAGACGTCTCCGTTTCACTTCACGAGTGTTTCCTCAACAGCCATGCTATCAAGAAGAACTTTCAAAATACTTAAAGATGCTTCTCCGTATTCTGTCAAATTCTGTTGTCAAGCGAGTTTCGAAAACAAATTAAATCATACAAGAGGTTTCACTGAAAGTAAGAGGGCAGTCGTAGAGGAATAGGCGCGCAGAAAATGTGTAGGTTATTAAATCTCCAACATGAATGAAAGAAAATTTTACCTCCATTAAATTCTTCGGAGATTTCCTGTTCAACTATCATTGTTTTTCTAAATGTTCATCTTTTGGATCATATACATCTACGTTAGCCGCTTCAGTTTGTGGTCAAAACATAGATCATGCAGTAAGAAAGGGTTCGGATGCGAAACAAAATTAAGAATCTTGAGATTTCAGATTACTGGAGGTGTGCATCTCTAAAGCAGGCGAGCAGATGGGAGTCTGTTACAAATCAACCTTTGTCCCTTGTACTAGGATGCTGTCCTTGTAATTCAATGATCGGTAATATAAAACATAATTTCAGTTTTTCATTTAATCATTCTAAACGTAACTGCTGTTAAGAGGGTGCAAATGCTACAGATAAAGCTAGACGTTAATTACCTCTTAGCCGCTTTTGAGGAAAGGAAAAAGGATCCAGCTTATCTTGGGAACCTCGCTTAAGTTTGCCTGTCAAATAAATTATAAATTAGCACACATTACAACAGGACTTCTGTTTCATTATTGTTGATAGGACATCCATAGTAGAAAAGGAAAGCAGAAAAATGACAAATTGAAATTTGCTGAGTCTATTGGAAAAGAAAAAAGGTATGTACTAATTTAGCTCTTCATAAGCTGATACTGGTGCGCCTACCTCGCCTTTGCCTTCTCATTACGACCCAGAATAACGTTCTTATTGTGTCTTCATAGAGTGCACTTAGTTAGAACTAATTAATCTGAATTATGGCCTTCGATGAAGGAGCCTAAAAAAATCACCAAAGGAAAGATGCTGTCTCAGATCCCTTCTTCTCACTCTGTGTGTCATGTTCTGGATCTACCACTGGAAATATTATCAAGAGAATCGGAAACTCACAAAAATACACATGTGGCTAAAGACTGAGCATAAGTACACACTAGCAAACCACAAAACCACAGTGTCATGGTAGAGGCCGTCCTCGCTCACAGTTAATTTTTTTTTCCAATTAGATCGGTTTCTTCTTCGTGACACAACAAAAATATTACACGCAAATTACCAGACTTGTGTGTCTATACATTTAATCTGTTTAAAATATCTCCCACACTACACTGGTTTTGATTCACTACACTCTATACCATCGGTATGGAAAGGTTGCGCCGCCATCTGAACCAATCAAACAAGAATTAATTGACACTTCAATAAAGTTTATGTATGTATGTATGTATTTACCTATACCCACTGACGACCTTTTACCAGCTGTTTCTGATGAAGTCAGTCTGAGTTATGGCTCAACTGTAATATAAGATACAGAAACTCCGTAAGTCAACACACGATGTTGATAAAAAAAATATATATATATATTAAACCACCCTTGTTCATGCAAACTTTGCCTATCTCCTTTGTCCATGCTGAAAAGAGACATCTCGCTGGAAACGTCAGCTTTTGTAATCGTTACGGTGGCCAATTTACCATTTCAACTTTGTTGATATATCCAAATTATTTCGTTACTCCCACCGACGCAGCCCCAAACAGTTTCTTTCGAAACTATCAGCCTTTAAACGTATATTAGTTATGTTATGACATAAACGTACGTTTATCTCATAACATAACTAATAAAAAAAACACTTGAAAGACCTATCCTTTCTTTGAATTCACGGAAACGTCTCATCAAAAGTGTGAAAGCTAACCCATCCTTTTACTTACATCTCTCTATCACTTTTTTTATTTTTGTTGCTTCAATCACAGAGAATTCTCACAGATAGTGATTTCCCAAAAACTATTTATTTGATTTCCAGTGTGGATAGCGCGGCTAACAAAGTAAAAGCAAATGTCAGTGTAGATACCTTTAAAAATGTATGCCTTGAAATGTTCTGCCAATTTTAAGAAAAACTTTCGATAACTTCCTCAAAAAGCGACCAACATCCCTCATCTAATGGCCTTAGAAAATACTAGTGACATATTTTAAGATCAACATATCCTTCCCCTAGTACTTGCGAACAACTGTTAGACATACGTTTATGATGCAAAGTAGACTTATCTTCTCTGTAAAACCACAGAGATGTCTCACCAAAAGTGTGAAAGCTAACATCCTGGTTTTTACTATTAGCCAACTGACTTCTCTGTATCCCTTTTTACATTTTTCTTGTTACAACCAAAGAGAAATCTCACACATACTGATTCCCAAAAATTTAATATTTGATTTCTGACGTGGATAGAGCAGCTATCAAAGTTAAGGTAAACGTCAGGGTAGATAACTTTAAAAATGCATGCTTTGAAATGATCTGCCAATTTAAAGAAAAGCGTTCGATAACTTCCTCAAAAACCAACCAACAGCCCAGATCTAATGGCCTTAGAAAATTCTGCTTCCATAATTCAAGATAAACATGTCCTTCCCTCAGTACTTGCGAACAACTGTTAGACATACGTTTATGGTGCAAAGTAGAATTGTTGTTACTCACTGCAATAACTGTCAGCCAGGTCATTACGCTGTACCACTGCGTGGGTCAGAGCATCAAACAAAGTCTTGTAATTCGCATGACCACCTCTCCTGTGTTTCCAATGCATCAACATAAGGTATCCTTTATCAATCCCAGACTCGCTTGTTCCATCAATCACCAGCAACTTCCTCTCGTTAAACCCCAACTGACGCCCTAATACTTTCCAAAAGTCACCAATACGTTGAGCCAATCCTTTTAACTCTTCACTGGTTGGTACACCTCGTTTGACTGCAAAGGCAACTTGAGTGTCACTGGCACATAACACACTAGTCAAAAGTAACCATAATTACCGTTGTTTGCGTGTTATAAAGCCCTGAACAGTACCCAAGCCTGCATCTTTAACTAACTTTGTTAAACTTTTGATTTAGAAAGCAATTGTTAACTCCTTTCAAAACATCGTTTGCATTTTGGGTCATCGTTAAATTTCGATAAAAGTGTCTTGGAAAATAACAGCGGCAGACGCTGTTTGAGAGCCCCTTCTTTAATCCTTTATTTGTTAAGTTCTCGATCTACCGTTGGATGCGATGCTGACAAATGATATGCACATTTTATTACGAGAATAGCAGGCTCACTGAAACACCCGTGGTTAGAGACTGGGCTACAAAAGTACACGCCAGTAAACCACAAAACTATAGTGTCAAGCAATATACCGATCATGCTTATGATTAGATTATCTTAATAATAATAATAATAATAATAATGAACGTTCTTAATACGCATTTAAGAATGAGAGGTTTCTTCTCCCCAGAACAAATGCCACATTCCAGATATAATTATTGTTCGTGGTTATCTCAGTTTAGCAACATAAGTATCCCAGGTAACCTTATGTTCACTAGAAATCAATGATAAGTTTTACAACAATACGCGGTGCAGTACCATGTCTTTGTCTGTTAATCAATACCTACGTCCTGACCAATTTGTATACCGCACAAGTGGAAACCGCATAAGTGCATTACAAAAGATACAGCTACCATTTGTGGTGCATTAGAGAAAACTGGTAACGAGTGAAAGGACACTCCAAAGGGAGAAGGCAAGCCGAAAATGTATGGGTTAGTAAATCTCCCACACGAATTAAAGAAAATTTTACCTTGAATGAGTTATTTGGAGACTTCCTTTTCAACTATCATTGTTTTTCTAAATGTTTATGCTTTGGAGATCATATAAATCTGTCTTAGCCGGTTCAGTTTATGGTCAAAAAATTAATTTGAGTAGGAGACAGTTGGGATGCGAACCTTCAAGAACCTTCAGATTTCAGATAACTAGAGGTGTGCGTGTCTAAACACATGATCAAATGGGAGTCTGTTCCAAATCAAGTTTTGCCTTTAGCAGCCTCATAATAGTCCGAAGAATGTACTTTATAAGCTATACCTTACGATTTCCAATTAGTGCTAGAAACACTTGTGGCTAGAGCCTGAGCATAATATACACTAGCAAACCACAGAACCACAATGTCATGGTAGAAGCCGTCCACCCTTACGGTTCAAATCAGATTGGTTTCTTCTTTTTGACACAACAAACAGATTTAACGCAAACTACTTAACTTGTATGTCTAGTCATTTAACCTGATTAAAATATCTCCCACACTGCACTGGTTTAGATTCAAGGGGATAGTCTGTATACCAAAATTATGCTAAATTAAATAAAAGTCACCGTGCTTGTTCAAGAGCTTAAGACCATCGTACCTTTTTACTAGGTCCATTGATTGAAAAACAATACCGTGTTCTTGGAATGCGCGTGCTTATTCGCCTGATTACGTCATTTCTGTGCGCAGTACTCGATGCGGAATGCAATACTGAGGAATTACCTCAACTTACCTACTGCAAAAGACGACATTTTACCAACTGTCTCTGTTAAAGACGGTCTGTCTTCCTTCTCACCTGTAACTTAAGTTGTACAGGAACTCACTTAGTCAACACATGGTGTTGATAAAAAATAAATATTAACTACTCTTGTACATGCAGACTTTCCCAAGTTCCTTTGTTCTTGCTAAATAGAGAATCTCTGAGTCTGCTTTTGTTTTTTGTTTTTTTTTAACGAATTCTAAACCACGCGTTCACTGTTTTATTCACACGATAGTTGTTTTTAGATATCATTCAGGTCATCTTTAGAAAGAACTAGCTATAACTCTTGCAGATCATTTTAGCTTTATAATTTCTAATGTATTTGACTGCCTGAATTTATGGTCCTCCAAATTTTGAAAGCGCCCAAAATACGAGGTCGTCCTAATTGCACTTATTTTTGCCTAGGAGATAGAAAACCGTGCTCATAGAGCCCTCATCAGTCAGTAAAAAGTCTGCTTCTTGAAGCAATCCTGAAGAGAACGAAAATCATCATTTCACTTTTTACTGGGGAGAAGAGAGGTAATTATTTTCTTTGTCACAAGAAGGTTCTTTTTGGTTTGAAAAAACCTGACAATAATTCAACAGCACATCGACAGTTCCAACCATATCAGATTCACTTTGAGTGCCTCTTTATAGCAAGAAAATCCCCTCCCTCTGGGCCCAAAGTCAATTATTGTACAGTCAATATGATAGTGAGTTGAAAAGGTTTAAAATCTATTACATTACAGTTTTTTTTCGAGATGATCTCTCTTGGGATGTTAAAAACTAAAAGCTAAAAGACCTCAAGTTACTGCAAACTTTATAACATATTTTTAGCATGCGGGCAGGCAGTTGCAAGTGCGTTTCTTTGAGAGCAATCACCCCCCACCCCCATCAATTATAAAGAACATACCACTGGCAATTAATAAAAGACTGAACGAGATCTCGTCGAACAAGGAGGCCTTCGATGAAGCAGCACCGGTTTACCAAGAAGCCCTTGAAAACAGCGGGTACGACTTCGAACTTAAGTTCCAAGCCGAGGGCAGCGCACAGCAAAGCCAAGAGCAGACTACCCGACAACAAGAAAAGAAAGCCAGACGTCGAAATATCACATGGTTCAATCCCCTCTTTAGCAAGAACCTCGCTACGAATGTGAGAAGAAAGTTCCGGGACACTGAGAACGAGTGCTTCAAAAGCAAACACCCACTGAATCAAACAGAAACATGCTGAAGATATGATATTCGTCTCTGCCGAAGCTGTAGGAAAAATTTAGGGCGCACAATAAAACAAACCTCATTGCCAAACAGCAAACACCTGAAAAGACCTGCAATTGCAGAGTTAGTCAGTTTGTCCGATGGACGGAAACTGCCTAGCGCAGAGTATTGTATACCAAGCTACTGTGAGCAGCAACAAGGGCAAAGAAACCTACATTGGCATACCCGGAGATCAGTTCAAAACAAGATACCGGAATCACATAGCTTCGCTTAAAGACAAGCGTAAAATGAATTTCACAGAGCTAAGCAAACACATCTGGTCCCTGAAGGACGCCGGCGCGCAATACACATTGTCCTGGAAAATAATCGCCCATGCCAACACATACACGAACCTCTCAAAGAAATGTCATCCTTGTCTAACCGAGAAGTATTTCATTATACGGAAACTGGACCTATGTTCATTGCACAAAAGAAACGAGTTAGCAACTGCATGCCTGCATGCTAGAAAATATCTTATTAAGTATGCAGTAACTTGAGGTCTTCTAGTTTTCAACATTTGTAAAGAGAACATCTCGAAACATAACTGTAATGTAATCGATTTTAAACCTTTTCAACTCACTATTACTGATTATTACCGCCCCGTAAGTCGAGCACTGTTTTTAAATAAATAAATAAATAAATAAATAATGATTTAACAATGGACATCCACTGGGTGGCTATTCTTGTCCACTGTTCCAGATCGAATTGGAATTTAGAATGTTGGTTTTAGCGGAGGGAGGAAAACCGGAGGACCCGGAGAAAAACCCTCGGAGCAAGGACGAGAACCAACAACAAACTCAACCCACATGAGACGCCAGGTCCGGGAGTCGAACCCGGGCCACAGTGGTGGGAGGCGAGTGCTCTGCGCCATCCCTGCTCATTATTTATTTATTTATTTATTTATTTACATGCATAGCTCCCACATGTGCAAGTTTAGCATAAAAATATCCTGATAACTTAAAAGAAATGACAATTGCATTAATATTTTTGATAGAAAATAGAAGTTAAATTCAACAATGTTAATACACCATTAAGCAATTAAAGAAATTCAATAACTAATAAAAGTTAAACCAGAAAAGATAACACTGTGAATTGAGATTGTCAATTGGGACAAAGCAAGAAAATGTGTACACCCATTACAACATATTTTGTGTTTTTGTTTTGGTACAAAGCACCATCCAGCTTCTTTGACTACCTGACCTTATTATTTATGTTTAACAAACAATGTTCAAGAAAAGCCCCACTAGAACACTATAGCTGGCAATTTTTAATACAACTTGTGGTGACCTTTTCATAAGTCAATATAACCTGAATACATATAATGGTTGAAGGACTTCAGAGACATTTTTTACGCATATCAAATACAAGCAAACTTTTTAAACTGTAACAATAGTTGGAATTTCCAAATCCTTTGGAGATGCTGCAGCTTTTAGATGATTATATTTTATTGTGGAATTATAATTTGCTTCTCTTGCAGTTATTATTTCTAAGAGGCATGAATGCTCTGAAGCTACCTTTATGACATTCAGAATGGTTATGTAGGTCTACACAATACTTCCTGTCTCCTTTTAGAACCACTCCTTTCTTCCCCCATCTCTGCTTATAATGTAATGTTTCAGAAATATTGCATAGAGGTTACTTTGTCTAATTCTTTTTAAAACAAAAGCATCAAAACAGTTCAAACTTTTCCACCTTATTCTTAAGAGTGAATGTATGGTAAGTTTTAAGGTTTGTAGTTCTTTATCCCCGTACAATACTAATGAAAGTACTAAAACTGGTTTAAATGTAGGTGAAAAGTAGAGTGTGACTAGTTTATCATGCAGCTTCCAGTATTTACTACTCTTTGCATCCTAATACAACATTTTCTTAAATTTCCAGAATCTAATTTCAATGCTAACTATGACAGTATACGGTCAGTTAATCATGAATTGATCTGTTTGACAGTTACAATTTGTGAAACATTCATTTATTTCATGAATCAAACCAAACGTGGTTTGAGAAGTCAAAAGTATTACCTGATTATAGGTATGGTTTGTTTGAGAAAATTTTGGGCACAACAAAGAGTCAGCAAATCAAAATGTGAAATAGCCTATTCTTGTAAAATTAGACAATTCACACTATCCTTCGTGAAAGAAATATTGGATAACTCCCCTAACAATCCAATAGCCAGCAGCAATTAAATGAGAGGTCTGCACATCTGAATCTTTCAAACTTCATCTTCTTCAACTTCCCTAAATGCAAGACTAATACAGCCATTTCTTTGCACTTTCACAACTCAGTTGAGCTACAGCTATATATTCTTTGTTAAGCTACACTCCTTTTCTCTTTTTTTCTTTTCTCTATTTTTTTTTTCACTTAATCTAAATTTTCTTTCAGCCCCTTTGATTTACATGGTTTATCCTATAGTTTAAGGAAGCCTATGCTTTATAAGCCCCAGGCTTCTAATAGGCTTCCTTGCTATTACCTCTTCAGTTCCTTTGATTTTGAAGTTAATTTCGTTAGAATAGTTATTTTTATCTTTGATGTAACACAAATTTTGTATTCGGTTAATTTTTTTTCTCGTAATGGCAATTAAAATTAATGAATGAATGAACAGTGTGAAAAGAACACTGTGATTCACAACTTACAATTATCATACTTCTCAGCCAAGTCTGTACGTGAAACAAATCTGTGGCTTAGAGCAGCACACAAAGTCTGGTAAGTTGCACCAGACCCATTCCTTTCTTTCCACTTCTTCAGCATCTGATATGCTTTCTGAGGAAGGAGCCTTCTACCTGAGTCAATCTCCTGAAGCTCTTCATCTGAAAAGTTCAGTCTACGCCCTAGACTTTCCCATTTAGCGCCGATATTTCGGCTCAAATCTTCCAGCTCGTCATCTGTTGGTACACCTTGCATGACTGCAAAAGACATATTTAAAGTCACTTCAGTCTATATTTAACTAGTTAAAAGCAACCACAAATACTGCAAGTTAGAAATGGATCCAAATTTAAGCTCTGCAAAGGATTCGAGCATGCCTCACTACCTATGTCAGCCACTTAATTTAAAAGTCGTGGTTCACTCCTTTTAAAATGTCATTTAATAGAATGGTTGGTAGTTGTTATGATGTGTTGAGGTGCCTTAAAGAAACCGGATGAATGTCTGGAGCCCCATATTGTTATTATAAAAACTCAAAAAATTGTCAGTAAACAAACTTTAAAGCAGATGAAGTTCTGTTTAATTTTCAAGTTAGAGGGCATTCATGGGAGAATAGGGCATTGATGACTTAAAATGAATTTCCCTGAGTGTAATTTATAGACTGAAGTAGGTGGACTTGACTAACTCTTCTGCTTGCTGGTGCTGGTGCATGTATCTCTGCTTTTGCTTTGCGACCCAAATTGAAGTACATGTAGTTTATTAGTTTCAGTGAAGAGCACTTTAATTTTGTCTGCGTTGTTGTAACTATAATTGTATCCAATGATGGATCTATGACATACAGGCCTGTTATTTGCATTCTAGGGCCATTCAATACAACCATATCAAAATAACCATGTTAATAACTGAGGTTTGCACATGACTGAAACCAAAAATAACCATGGCAACTGTACACTTTTTTGTGACTATGGCTTTCCTAGCATGAAAGAAAATCACAAAAATAAACATTATCAAGGCAAAATTATGTATTTTACAGTATTATATGTAGGCAACTATGTAATACTTCTAACTACTTTTTTTATGGCCTCAACCACTCTGTTGCAAAACCATCTGTGATTAAATGCACCCTGTGCGACCAGCTTTTCAACTAAATTTGTGCATGATTATGCCTCATAGCCTTTCAGGTTTGCTGGATAAAAAACTGTGATGTTATAACCCTTGGCATTTTCTTTATCATCTGGACTGGCATTAGAATAAAAACACCAATTTCTATATTTTCTAGCGTAGGCAGTTCTAAAGCCAGCTGTCTAATGAGGGTGGAACAATCATCTTTGTTTGACTTAAAAAACATTAACTAACCATTGGCACCTTGATTCATCAGGTACAATGTCAAACTCCACCTACTTTTCTGATAGTGTCCTAACAAAAAGATAAAAAAAGGGTTTATATAATGATTGCTATGTATCATGATAATATCCTTAATCTGCAAAAAACAATTTCTATCATGACTTGATTGACAACAGTTCTGCCATTTTCTTGACTGCTGTCTTGGGTTGTCCCCAAGAAGGTTGGGTCAGGAAGGAGTATAGGATTAGATCTATGAACAGCCCATCAGAAAAGCAATTGAAGCCTCTTTACTTATCTATTTCAGGGAATAGATGTAAAATCCTGTTTACAGAATCATATTAAGATCCCAACGCTAACTACCCCTCTTATGCCATGAATCAAACTGAAAAAGGCCATCAAGGAACATTCGAAAAACAAGACTCGAGCTTACCATTGAAATATTCTCTGATGGCCTGCCTTCTTACAAACCTATCTTCCCCCACTGATCAGAGTAAGCCCTATGGTGTAATTTCTTGATTCAATGGGACTTCTGAAGAAACAGTTGACTATGAAGCCTTTTCATAACTCCTGTTAACTCACTTCTACAGTTTCATAGTCAGCAATCTAATAACACTGGCTCCTGATGCAATGGCGAGCAGCTGTTTACAATTGTTTAAATCTAAAAGAATGTCTTCGAAAGTGCCGACTGTTTGTCTAAGTACTTTCTTATTTTTGAAATCACTCCAAAGCTTTGAACAAATGACAAAGTTCCTTTACTAATATGGCTACCCTTTACTTATTAGAAAGTTCTATAATAAAAGCATGTCCTAAAAAGGATTTAAGAGGGAATCTTACGGTTAGTAATTGGAAACAATTTCGAAGTGGAGGCTCCACTGATGATCTTAACACAGAGTCAAATAGGAAGCTAAGTAAAATGTGTCATAAATTTAAGAAACTTTTCAGTGATCTTTCATACCTTATTGACAGGTGAAAATCGAGTCACTTGATCGCATATCTCTCGTGGAAATTAGATGATATCGTGACAAGATATTTATTGAACTACTGAATGGTAACGAATAAGCAAACCCGGAAGAACGCTATCCCATCAGACACTAGGGACCCTAAGCAACCCTATTTTTAGACGACAGTGACGCCAATGACCGATTAAGACTGGTTTGGAGTTTATGTTTTTCCTTCCGGGAGAGGAAAACTTTTAGCTTTCGGAAGGCAAAGTCGTCTCTTTCCACTTGTGGTTTGAAAAAACAAAATCAAAGAGTTGTAAAAATGAATTTTTTTAAGAGCATTCGGGAAACGCTCTCACACAACGATGTTAACAACGTCGTTTCGCATAAAGAGCTTGTCCTTGTTTATGACGCTTGCAGTTCTAAAAATCCAGAACTTAATTACCAGTAATGTGACCCTTTCAATCTCGACGACATCGATTCAGGCAATGTAAAGCAGAGATCTTAGTTGAAAAAGCGGATCTTCCTCGACTCGCCGAAGGAGTAGGACTTGAATTTTCGAGTTAGCAATTCCCCGCGCTCGATCCCCCTTTCCTCTCTTGTCTTTTAACGAACCATTAGCGAATCGAACTGAGTTAGTTTATCAGCGATAGAATTCCACGCTTCCCTGTGGTTGACGCTCCTTTCTTGAAAGCAAAAACATCGCTGACAACCATTTCCCTGAGCATTGACACGTTTTATTCGGTTCACTCCAGGCGTAATCTGACCTAAAGTATTTAAATATGAGTTAGAAAATACGCTGAAACAAAACCTATTACATTTCACTAAGTTCATATGCTGTCCTCGCGTAAACTTCTAACCTACACTCACCAACTTATTCACTCAATTGCGAAAATTTCCTGCAATAACCGTATGGTTACTCGAAGCCATGGACACTAGTCAGCACTATTCACTGAGAAAGTTAACTGTTGCGACCTGTAAGATACGAGTTATCTGGGTTTTTTTAACTGGATTTTTACGTGAATGAACTTACTGTTGGCCTTCGTTTGTCCTTGCGTTCGGAGCCAAAGAGTAACATCATACGTATCATTGAATTAGCGAAAAAGCTAGGTTTAATTAAGAAATACTGATTATTGTTCAGTTTGTTTTGAAGCTTTCGGAAGCGAAAAGTGAAAGAAGTGGTACATGTTTCTGGCGTCAAACAAAATGATGTACTCATGCTTTAGGCGAAAGTCACTGCTCTTATGTCTGCGCGAAGAGACGACGGCTGCACGTGAAAATGTAAGACTTCAAGCGGAAGTGAGTCTGGCTTCCGGTCATCGTCGCTGCAAAAAGCTGCATTGCTTGTATTACTAAAGCTCCCATTGCAAGAAAAAAAATTAAAAAAAAAAAAATGATGCAAGTATACTAAAAGGAAACTTTGGAACGGGTCGCACAAGTCCGGTAATCCCACAATAGGGCAGCTGTCATTCAAGAGAAATTCAGAGATCCAGTGCCACTTGATTTCCCAAATTCAGTGGAGCAACACAAAGCAGGATGATACAGCACTTATTTCCGTCACTAGCGTGTTACAAAGAAAAATCTGACGAGTTCCTACCGAATAAGATTGCGCAGTATGATGCTCCACCCTAGTACAGAATTTTTTCTGGTAAACAACAACAAACCCTTCTGATTCAGGTGGAGGAAACGTGTGGATCCGAAGATAATACATTGGAAAAATAAACCGTAGATTGCATGACGGAAAAACTGAACATTTTAAAGGGCTCGCAAGTGCCTGTCATACATCTGCTATCGCAGGTCACAACATGAAATTGGACCACTTTGAGAGAGGGTCGTACAGGGTTATTTTCGTGATGCGTGATTAGTTTTGCGTGACTCGTGAAGAACTTGAATTATTAAATGATATTTGTGATTTGACCATTCTATTCTGCGTGATTTTTGAGATGCAACTATTCCAGAAGATTTCTTAGACTGAAAACATCAAATGTGACAAGTAACAGACTTCGCATAAGCTTCGTAAACATCGTAAAGTAATCCATTGTTCAAATTCACGTAGAATAGACCTTGTTTCTAAATTGACTGATAGTAAATGTGAAAACTGCCTTTTATGTAAGACTTAGGTTAGATTTTAAATTGTACATATATATTGTTTTATTTTTAAATTTATAAAATTTTTAGGTAGTATTTAGTGTCCCCAGTTAGTGGTTGTATAACTGCTATTTTAGATTTGACACATAAATAAAGGTTGTTGTTGTTGTTGTTGTTGCTTTGCATGCCTATCATGGATCGGCTGTCGACTCCTATTGTCTCCTACGTCACGGGAGGTCAAAGACCCGTCAAAGGACAGTGATCCGAAACATCAAAACTTCCGGGACATGGCAGGGACGGGTGTCCGTCTAGTACGAAGAGGGTCGAGTGTATGATATTTTACGTGAACCTGAAGTCTGTGGATTCGCTTAATTTTCTTGGAAAGGAACGAGTTCGCTTTCCGATTACAGACGAACATTAATCTTTGGCAGTGTTTATTAAAAAGTTCGCGGAATTTGCCGGAATAAAGGCAGAGGCCGAGAAACGTAGCCTCAGTTCCTGTGTTGAGCTTAAATTCTGTCGCCTGGAAAAGGGAAAAGATGGCAGTAAGGCCTTTGCGATAAATACACAAGAGCAATGGGATGAGGAGAGGTCACTACTATCAGGAAGTACAACTTCATTACAAGGTAGGAATTTATTTACTTCTTATCAAATGACTTCAAGGGCCGTTCTGAAAGATACTGATGGGCCGACTTTTCTGTAAGTTAATAAGTTACTGATCAAGGTTAATAAGAAGAGCAAGAGAATAAGGCGACTATGTCAGGATGACAACATCGCTCAAAGCGCGCGGAAAGAATTAAAAGTGACACGAAGGTTTTTATGACCTCTTCATGTGTGGCTTATAACCTTAGAAAATATTTTTCCTTATTACTTTCCAGTAAACGTTTTAAGAAAAGAAATTACCTTTGAAAAAGCATCGCCTGTTATCAAGGTCTGCCTCGCCACCGACAATGCAGATACTAGCAAGCCCATATGCAAACCCAGAAGAACTGGAAGGAAGAGATCAGCAACAAAACTGGAGGACGAAGAACTTGTTAAAAGAATCAAGAGGGGTCGAGATTTCGAGCGAAATGAAAGACAGAGGAAAGACCTCGAGGAGATGAACAAAGGTGGGTGTAAAAGTTTCCGTCGCTTGAAGGGGAGGGGCGATAAGTATTTTTGTGGTCATTTTAATCGCGTGGGCTGCAAGGGGGAGGGGTAAGGGATTGGGAAAATCTGACTCGTTGTTTGGTCCGTATAAGGACGCTAACGCTTACAAATAAAGACGAAGATCTATGGTGAGGAGACCGTAGTCATTGCTGGAACAGGAAAGGAAGGTAATTAAAATGGAAAGGGAGACCAAGCAACATTTGCGCAGCCTATGGGCATATGTGTGGAGCACAAGAAGAACACATTCATCACCGATGCTCAAACAGGCTCTGTGAAGCTGGTTACCTCGATAAAAGGCATTGTATAGTATCTAGGCTATCTTGGACTCCTTTAGAAAGCTTTTTCTCGTCATATGAAACATCAGACTGTACCAAAACGCTCCCTACCACAAGCAATTGAGCTTCAGGAAGAACTCGACAGTTACTTGGAAACAATAACAGAAAAAGCGTTATCGCATAGCAACGATGTCAACGATACCAGCACAGGTAAACCAAGCGGTCCACAAGGAACTATTTCTAATCAGACAAAGGGTTCAGTGAACATGATCTTAAATGGACTGAAAGATATGGAGGCTTCGCAATTGATCTGTACTCCTGTCTTACAGTTCAGGTTGAAAACCTCCACGCAGTTGGTCATTTCAAGGACCAGTTTCCTACCCTTTTGCTGTACGCACAGAATCTGGCAAATATCGTATACGAAAGCATTAAGCGTGTGGTGCCCTGGAGTACCTACTACTTCACGCACGATAAATCCTATTATCCCGTGTTACGCCAGAGCACTCAACTAAATGCCATTCCGAAGCTGGAGCATCTCAACGCAAGAAGAGAGTTGAATAGGCAGGAAAAAGACCTCATGATTGAGTGGGCGACAAATAATGGGAGGGCTGCACGGCAGAGAAGTGTGAGGCAAGAGACCACCACGTTCAAGGCCGGAACATTGCCGTTAAATATGTACAAAGCATCTCACTATCCTAAACATAAAGTCTCAATCAGCCATAACACTATCCAAAAAGGGACTGTTACTTCTGCTACAGCCGTTACGATTGTTACGCCTTCTACATCGCACGAGGCCATCGAAGACGATAAAGTAGTAGAGGCAGCAGAGGTAGAAGAGGAAGAAGAGTATGACACTGACTCAGACGCTGAATATTCTATTGCGGACAATGATGAGGAAGATTCTTTAGACGATTTGGTTTTTATTCGGGCAGTTACAGCGAGAAGTGGACGAATGGTCAGAGTCATCCAACGAGAATGATTTGGGTAGGTGATTTACGATACGCAGCCTTTACGTAGCCTTTCACAATTTTGCTTTTTCAAACATTCTTTCTAGCCTAAGAGAAGGTTATTAAAAGGAGTATCTTCTTTATTTTCGTGATTCGGGAAAATGAAATTTTAATATCCGTGATCCGTGTTTCGCCATTTTTTCTCTTCGTGAACCGTGCGACGGACCTCCCCTGTACGACCCTCTTGAGATATTAACAAAAGATCGTTCTGATACTCATTGCAAGATAACGGGAGACCCTATTAATTCAAGAACTTAAACTTACTCTAAAGGATAATGTCAGCAGCGATAAGCTTTATCTGTATAAGTTGCATCTTTGTATGTGCAAAATTTTTTCTTTTGTTTATTGTTATGTTAATTAGTTACTTATTCTAAATTGAAACTTAGTCGCCACGTGTATTATTAACTGTCACTTCTGAAGATGTATGTCGAAACATACGAAACGTCAAGTAAAGTTTACTAATCTTATTTTCCAACATGCGTTTTACTGTCATGTCTGTAACTGCAGTCTGTGTGCTATTTCTTATCAAGCTACGATGGCCAAAGAGAAAGAATTTTTATGATATAGCAAGAATAATTGTTTGT